ATATATATATAGTAAATCGTGCCATGAAGTCACACGTGGACCATAATCAAAGGGAGCAGTAGCATTAGATTTACTCTCGATATTTTAATTTTAGTATCCGTTATTTTTGTTTGGTTTGGGTTAGTTTCCTTTCTACATGCCTGAGTACCTTGCCGTTATAAACAACATGGTCCAAACTTCAAAGGAAAGGTATACCAACTAAGTCAAAACTCAATAACAATAAACAAAAATTAAGGATTCATAAAACTGACCCCATATATTTTGTAAGAGGCTGATGATGATAATGATAGCATCTATTTATAACAAAAATATAGATCATGGTAATGATCGAAAATGTTTTATCAATAAAGAATGCTAGATGATCGCAAAGCTGAAGTGTCATAGCTTAGAAGCCTAAATAGTTTGTTTGGCTCCAATGAATGTACGTAAATTTGCCAAGTTGACAAAACTCCATATGCAGGGTGATAACATAAGGAAATTGAGAATACAAAGTTCATTTTAAATAGAAATCAATTATAAACATTCCTGAATGCAACTAAGAAATATCCTGTTAAAAAAAAAACATCACCGTTCACTGAATAATGAAAAAAAGTTCTGTTTGAATAAACGGCAAAACAAAGCATGCATATCATGGAATGAATATGGGTGGTGCTGCATAGCAACTAAAAGCATGAGGCCAGGTAATAAGTTGCAACAAAACAGAAAAATATGGGCTATATTCTAAAGAATGGTCAGGCATACCCTTATTTTTCCATAGCATGCATGCAGAGGTTCTGAGAAATTGAAATTCATAACTGAAAATACGTCACTGAGCTCCTGGTCATGAACAGTCACAAAGAAATTAAAGACGGGTTTGTACCACGTTTAAAGAAAGGCAAACCAACCATTCTAAAGAATGTGCAAATGCACCTTGGTTTCACCACATTGCCATATGAAATAAGGCAAGCAAATGCCTTTTAATGAGGGTGGCAAATTGCCACAAGCCCCCAAGGCCTTATTTGCTATTGAATGATCAAAACCTTCAATTTCTCCTAGGCAGCATCGGCTCTTCCATATATCCTGTGTATGGTATTTAGAGTGCCAAAAATGTTCATCATAAATGTAAACAGCTAAAAATGTTTACTTGTAGACGCCTGTTATATTGGCAAAGTAACAAAATGGAATTAGGAGCTCAACAGTTAAGCACGTACTGGAAGATGCATTGCGCAAACTTTTAAGATCCCTTTGCAAGGCAGCACAATTGCATCTTTTGACAAAATTGGGTCAAGTATAGATCTCTCCTTCCTGCATCCCAATTTAAAACTTTTGTTTATTAGCTAGGAGCAACGATCTCATACAGAAATGAAAAGTTACATTACAAAAGAATCATAAAGTAAATAATCCGTTCACCATGATAATGCATTTCTCGGAGAAACATTGTTTAAACCTACAGTTTGTGACCATGTAAAATAGTACCAGCAGCTAAGACCTTAGGTAATCAAAATTAGAATCTGAAGTTTCGCCAAAGAACAAGCATGAATAGTAGATTAGATACCAGAATCTCAAGTTTTGCCACGGAAGCATTCCTTCATTTCCAGAATAAAATGGCTCAGCAAGGAACAAATCGACCTGCAAAAAGGACTTTTTGCTCAAAAACTAAACGATAAATTTGCTATGTAAACTAAAAAAA